TTTTTTACTGGTAAGGGGATTGCAACCCTCTGCACTGTGTGGTCCGCACCACGCTCAGCCAGCGAGCAAATCGGCCATCCCCATATAGGATCCGAACCCGTGGCCTTGGTGTTATCAGCACCGCACTCTACCGCCAAGCCCCTTACCGGTCATCTTTTAAAAAAAAAAAAACCACTAGCCCTGGGCAGGGGATGTTTATGGGCAACACACTTGGGTAGTAGGATGGTGTGGGGACGTTAGCACTTTGAATGTGTCCCCACAGCCTCCTGGTCCCCATTGCTTCTGATGTCAGCTGTTAATCTTAAGGTTCATCTTGCAGTTTTCCAAATTTTCTCTTTATCTTTCAGCATTTTGACTATGGTGTGCCTGGGTATTTGTTTTTTGTTTTGTTTTTTTATTTTTTTTTTATTATTTTTTTGTCTTTTTGTCTTTTTTCGTGACCGGCAACGGATCGCAACCCTCAGTGTCGATTTTATTTTTTTTTTATTATTTTTTTGTCTTTTTGTCTTTTTTCATGACCGGCAACGGATCGCAACCCTCAGTGTCGCGCCCGTACCGGACCGGGACCAGCAACGGGATCGCAACCCTTGGTGTTGCCCCCGCTCCTCGCTCAGCCAGTGAGCCACCGGTCTGCACATGGGATCGAACCCTCGGCGGGAGCGCCTCCACGCTTCCCAAGCAGCGCACTGTAGCAGTGCGCCACCGGGCCGGCCCCTGTTTTGTTTCTTTAATGGCATCCTTATTTTTTCAGTTTTTCTCTACTCTCCTATTTCCACATTGACACACATCACTTGTGAGAAAGTTTGAATAAATAGCCCCCTACAAATCATACCTGCCCCAAGGCCTCCCCTTTCCCAAGAGGGAGGAAATGGAAAGCTGAGGCCTAAAGAAGGGACACAGGTGTGTCCACATTTGCTCAGTTGCACTGACGACTCCAGACTCCCCCCAGCAGCAGACTCAGTGCTGAGACCTTCTCTCCGTTAGCCCTCTCCTGGTTCCATCCCAACCCACCAATAGTATCCAGATGCCAGGCACAGCCTCCCCAGCCCAGCTGCCCCTCACGGGGTAACCACCCAGAGGGACAAAGGCCCACTGAGCGAGGCCATTTTATGGATGAGGAAACAGACCAGGGGAGGCAACACAGGTAAAAAGGATTCAAATATTTATCTTGGGTGGGCCGAGCCCATGGCGCACTCGGGAGAGTGCGGCGCTGGGAGCGCAGTAGCGCTCCCGCCGCGGGTTCGGATCCTATATAGGGATGACCGGTGCGATCACAGCGCTCACTGGCTGAGCGCGGTGTGGCCGGTCTCAAAAAGGACAAAAAATATATATATATTTATCTTGGGGGTTAAGGCAGCCAGCAGGATTCTGTGTGGGTGAGGGCCTCTACAAGCAGAGCTCCAGGGCAGGCAGAAGCAGACAAGGACAAGGCCATCTGACCAGCAGTAGCCACATCAGAAAGTGATGAGAGCAAACTCAAAACTGGGTGGGCTTCAGACTTTACATATTCAATACTCAACATCCATTAAATGTCTACCATACGCTGGAGCACTAGACAAAGCCATTGCTCCCCAGCACAGGGCAAACATAAAATAGACAAACTAGGTTATTAGGAAGAGATCAGTGCTGTAGAGAGCAGTTAAAGTAGGGCATGGGATGGAGGGTGGCGAGTCCCCAGAAGGTGGCATTTCACAGGTGAGGTAGTTAAGCCACGTGGAATCAAGGAACAGCAAGGAGGCTGGTATCCAAGTGAAGTGGGATGAGAACTATGGGAGGGTTTTGAGCAGACATTAAGTCACCTTAGTTTTAACAGGATCTCTCTGGGTCTGGGCTGAAAATAGATCCAAGTGGGGGAAGGGCAGAGGCTACTGCAAAAGTCCCGGCAAGACAGGGGACTGGTAAGAAGCAATCAGGTTTGCCATCCTTGGAACTGAACAATGCTGGAGTGGAGACAGAGTTGAAGTCAAGAGCTTGGCATTTGAGGGGGGGTGAGTCTGCCCCAATAGGCAGGGCTCCTGGCCCTCTGACCCCAAAAGCAAGTTGAATCCCAGGGAGTCCCTTGGTCCTTGACCACAGAGCTGTGAAGTGGGGACAGGGTCCCCAGGATGGCAGGAATCAGGGGTGCCGTCAATACTGGATCCTTGCCCCTGGCAGTGGCTGGTCCACAGTAGGTATGCAGGGAACATGTCAGGAGCAATGGCATGGGTGACCCTTTCCCTAGTTAAGCCTCAGTTTCTACACCTGTAAAATGAGGCTGACACCTGCTTCACAGGGTGACTGAGTGGGTATTTGGATGAGAAATGGTCACTCCACAAATACTGTTTTATGTGTATATATGCAAATGTACATGTGTACACGTGCCGCACACTCATCTGAATATGTTATGAATGCCCCGCTCCTCACAGTATTTACATTCTAGTATAGAACAAATAAAACATTAATAGTTATGTACTGAGCACTTACTACATGCAGGACCTGTTCTCAGCCCTTTGCATTCATTAACTCACCTCATTTTAACAATGGAGGAAGGTCTTGCAACTTGCCCAAGACCACACAGCGGGATGAGCTGGTGGTAGAACCTGGGCAGACCATGTACAGTGTCCATGGCTGTGTCATCACAAGTTGTAATTAACACTAGGAAGCTAACAGGCAAAAGGCAAGAGAGTGCAGAGCACCAGGCAGAACCTCCTTTAGACAGAGTGGTCAGGGAAGATCTTCGAGGAGTCACTGAGCTAAGACCTGATCAGTAAGAGCCAACCTCGACGACACAGGGGCAAAGGGAACAGCTCAGGCTGTTTCCTGATGCTGGTTTCTAGCTGGGCACCTGGGACTGCCACCTCTCTCCTGGGTGGCCACTGCAAGTAGGAGTCACATCCTCCTGGCCTCAACTGCCCACGGGAGTCAGCCCAACTGTCTGAGCCTTTACTGTACCTCCCAGATGTCAAAAGGCAATCTCACCCCAAGACCCTGATAAGCACCCCTGGTGTTTGACACTGGGCAGGCCACTTCCCTAAGCCAGCCCCTCAACCTCCTGGACCATGCCAACAGACAGACAGCCCTGTCTCGCCCCGCTTTGATTTATCAAGCATTCACTGAGTGACTACTGCTAGGCCAGGTCCTGCCCTGGGCACTTACGTATTAACAGACAGACAGCCCTGTCTCGCCCCGCTTTATCAAGCATTCACTGAGTGACTACTGCTAGGCCAGGTCCTGCCCTGGGCACTTACGTATATCTCATCCTCACTGTGTCCCAGAGACACAGCAACATTCATTACCACCTCATTCTACATAGCTGGAGCAGAAAAAATAAGACAAGAACTCTCTTGTCCAAGTCACACACATGTAGCAGATCTAATTTTACTCTGCATCTAGGCCACCTGACTTCAAAACTCTGATGGTCCAGGGAGCAGGTGAGGTGGGTGCTTGGCCTCATGCTGACCACATAGCGATCACTGCTCAGACTGGTCCCCTCCCCTGCCTCACCTTCCCAGGGCCTAAGCTACCCCCTCTGGAACAATCCTGAACTGAGTAGGGGCAGAGTTAGCAAGCAAAGTTCTGACGTGCAGAGCTGTGAGGCCTGGCCCTGATGCTGAGGTGATGGAGAAAGCCAGGTGTGAGGAAGAGCCCTGGGGCAAGTGCAAAACCTAGACTCCACTGCCCAGGATCAAAAAGTGAACAACTCCCTGACACCCACCCAAATGTGTCTACCATGAAAACATGCTTTTCCTGTGCCATGAAGATGCCAGCGTCAGTCAGGATATGAAATCAGATGGAACCAACCAGGCCAAAGCCCTGCATTCCTGGCAATGGGTGTAAACGGTTTCCCCAAAAAGCAGCCCATACTTCCCCCTCATGCCAATCTAATTCCTTAGCCCAGGAAAGGCCACTCATGTATTTAGCAATCAGAGAGAAAAGCAAAGTTTTTAGGACCCAACACTCCAGTACAGGGTCCTCAGGAGTGAGAATGCAGGAGCCCACTGAGGCAAGCAACCAGCTGCTCCGGGGCTGTGTGTTCCTAAGACAGGAGGATAATCTCCCTCCAGGGTCAGCAAGAGTCACTGAGGTAACCAGCCAGCAGGCTGCAGCAGCTGCTGCCACTGAATAGAAGGATGCTTGGCTCTGAACCAGAACAGAAGCCAGTCCCAATCAAGAACCTACGAAAAGCTCACTCCTTTAAAACAACAAAAAGCCCTGGTGGAGAACAAATGCGGAGGTGGGATATTCCATGAGAGACCCTTGCTTCCCCCTTGACCTCCTCTCACAAGATATTCAAGAGAGACCCTAAAAAGGTCTGCCTGACAGGACAGTTTATGGGAGTAGGGTCCTCAGGACCCCTTCTCAGAGCCCACACAGGTAGAATGGAGGTAAAACTACTGCTTCTGACCCAGCCTGTCACCTCCTCCATATGGGGACTCGGGTAGGGCTCCTCACCTGCTTGCTTCAATTTTCTCACCCGAGATGGAAATATCCACCCCCACCTGAGTTCTTTTGAGGATTTAATCTGAAAGCATACTACGATTATGTAGTCCTGTAATTTAACCCTCACGACTACCTGGTGAAGCTCAGATCCTATTAGTTTTCCCATTTTACAAGTGAGAAAACAGATTAAGCGACCTGTCCAACTTCCAAAGCAGGCAAGTCAGCGGAGAGAAGCCGTCTTCCCACGCCAACATTCTGACTCCAGGGACGCTCCATTCAATGGCAGAATCACTGCTCTTTCCTGACAGTTAAAAAACCACAGCTCCCTGCTCCGAAGGGGGTTCTGCTGTATGGGCCAAGCCAGAGTAAACGCTCACCGGATCTCCGTTTCATGACCACCACGACACCTTTGCCGTCGGCGGCCGGCTCCACGCCCACAGTCTTGCGATGAATCAGCCCATTGTAGCGAAAGGAGTTGCGGGCCTTCAGGTTATTGGGCTCCTGGAAAAGAGGAGGCTTAGGGCATCGTGAAGGGGGGCCCCGGAGATATGCGAAGGTCCCTTCTTCTGACCCAAAGCGTTGGAGACCTCAGGACCCTCCTCCTGCCAGGCGTCCGGGCCCCACTTACAGTGCTGTACGTCTGTTTATTCCTTTTGATCAGGAAACTGGAGCAGTTCCGCACGACCATCCACTGCAGATGCGCGGACATGGCGGCGGCTGCGGAGAAACAGGGCACGTGAAGGACGTCAAACGGAGCAGGCCGACGCCGGGCCGCGGGGCTCGGACAGCACAGGAAGAGAGTGACTGGGAACCTGGGTGAAAGGGGGCATCCCTGAGAGCAGAGCGACCTAGAACTTCTGTCAGGCCGGATTCAGGCAGCCCAGACTAACGTCGAGGAATGGGGGGAGGGGAAGAAACCGTGAGACTCCACAACGACTTCAGGCGGCAGGGCTGGGGCCCACCAAGGACCCTCGGGGAGCAAGGAGAGAAGGCAGGCAGGGGGCAAAGACAGTGGGCGGCGGGCGAGAGACGGCGGCCACGCCGGGCGGACAGAGGACGCAAGCTCACCTCCTCTCCTCGGCGGCCGGAGACGGAAAGAGGCGCGTGGGGGCGGGGCTCCGCCTTTAATACCGCACACGCATTTCCGCTCGTCTCCGAGCGCGCGCCGGGAACCGCGGGGCGCCTCTTCTCCCTCCCTGCCGGCCCTCAGCCGAGGCGGCTCGGCGGTGTTCGGCTATTTCCGCCTGACTGTCGCGTACCGCTCGGGAATCATTGGAACTCTTCTGTTAGAGAACCGAGAGCACGTTCTCGGCCGTGGAACGCAGCCGTTCCGAGGACAGTTCGGAAGTTTTCGGAACTCCACGGCTGGATTTCCGAATGGGTCCAATTCATGAGGCCCCTAAACCCATTCCTTAGCGGCCTCTCTCCGGTATTGCCCACCCAGAGCTTGGCACTGTGCTTGGCACTTGATGGCTGCTCAATAAACATTTGTTTTATGAATGAATGTGTGAACGCGTGAACTATTTAAGTCTATACCCGGCGTCCTCGGATGCTTCCGGTCTTCTTCGTAAGCCCTCGGCTATTCCTGAGGCGGGCACCGAGGCCCGCTCGGGCATCTTCGGAACTCCCCGGAAACGCCCTTCGGAGGCGCGGCCGTCTTTCCCTATTCGCCCAGGCCCGGATCTGTTCGGAAACACTCGGTCTCCATTCGGTCACGTTCGGAATCATTCGGCTAATCCGGCCGCTCCCTTGCAGATGATCGTCTCCAGGGTCTTCTTGAAATAAACTCTTAAACTGTTTAGAGGTTGGAGAGAACCTAGACGGAAGGTTCTTGCAGACTGCCACCCCAGGGGAGCGTGGATTTCCTCTAAGGCGAGTCGTTTGGAGGAAAACAGTTTGCATGTGACAGCTCTTGATTCCCACTAGAGGTCCCTATTGGTTTGTCCACCCTCTTCCCTGTGCATCTCTGCCTTCCCTCTGTGCTGCCCACCCCACCCCCGCGTCCATTCTCCCCTCTCCAGTCTGCCCTGTGTCCCACCCACTAAACTCCTTGGAAGTTTGTTTTCTGTTGTCAGGATCATCTTAAGGAGCAGGATCCTTACCTGATGTTTCTCTGTGTCCTCAACCTTACCAGCACAAGGCCTGGTGCTGAGGAGGACGCGAGGCCCCCTACTGAACAAAGGAATGGAAAAAAGAGAGAGAGAAGGAAAGAAAGAAAGAAAGAAAAGAAAGAAGAAAGAAAGAAAGAAAGAAAGAAAGAAAGAAAGAAAGAAAGAAAGAAAGGAGAGGAAGGAAGGAAGGAAGGAAGGAAGGAAGGAAGGAAGGAAGGAAGAGAGAAAGGCAAAAAAGGGGGCCGGCCGCGTCTCACTTGGGAGAGAGTGGTGCTGACAACACCAAGTCAACGGTTAAGATACCCTTACGGGTCATCTTTAAAAAAAAAAAGAAAGAAAGGGGAAAAAAAGGAATGCCAGTGCCTTTGTCACCTCCATTAGTGCACTTTGACTTGTGATTACATCTGGGAACTCCTTGAGACCAGGGGCCTTGTCTGCCCTTAGACTTCACCACTAAGTCTTGACAGTCTTAACAGTTTGCCCCGTTCCCTCCATTAAAGCACTGTGGATCTGATAGTAGTGTCAGAGAGCTCCTGTGAGTCGCATCTATCACACTGTCCTCGAGTTCTTAGGGCTGAGGCCAGGCACACAGGAGGCACCAGAAGACACGCGTTGAGTGAAAAATTCTCAGTTCTCTCAGACCACCGTGTTTCCTTTAGAGCACCCTGACTATTGATTCTCCGCGTCCCAGAGTTCCTTGGGGTCCAGGGGCCTTGTCTGATCTTTGTTTCTCTTCCCACTTGTCCCCACCACGGTGCACAGGAGGCCTCTGGAGGCAGGCACTAAACAGAAACAATGCCCAGACTCCCACAATGTCCTACCCTGCCACCATTAAAATACCCTGAATTTTGACCATGTGTTGCCTCGCACTTCTTGGGGGACACCAGCTCTGGGTCACCCGTATCTGTGCACCCGGCTGCCCCCAGTACAGGTCGCTGAGGGACAGGCCCTGCATAGAAACCACTGCCAGGGCGCCCCAGCATCGGGCCCACCCGCGCCCAGCCCAGCTCAGGTGACCAGAAGGGCGCCGGGCACACCTGGCGCCGTCCCCTAACCCCGCCCCGGGCCGGGCCGCACCCCGGAACGCTCTCTCTGAGCCAGCCGCGGCGGTGCAGGGCCATGGCAGCGGCGCCAGCGGGGTGCGCTTCGCAGAGCCTACCACCGGGTGCATCACCCGCGCCAGCGGCCGTGCCCGCGCCCGCGGCCGGCTTGGGCCGCTGCCGGATGGCCTTGCTGCTGGCCGTGGCGCTGGACGTGGCGGGCATGGCGGCG